GCCTCTCGGAAGGTGGAGACCAGGGAAGACCTCGAACAGCTGATTCTGCTCGAGGACTTCAAGGATTGTTTATCTGGAGACCTCAAGACGTACTTGGAGGAACAGCAGGTAGAGACCTTGAGTGCGGCAGCCACCATGGCTGAAGAGTACATCCTGACTCATAGGCCGTCTGCTAAGTACGTCTCGAGGAATTACCAGCGCCGGTTTGACAGACCTCACGACGAAGAAGAAGAAAGACCCGTCCCACGAAGTGCTAAGAAGACGCCCCCAAGTAGCCCCCGAAGAACAAGTCCTAGCAGTCCGAAACACCGGAGCCCGAGGAGGAATATGGTGTGCTGGACTTGTGGGCAGAAGGGACACATAGCTGCTAGGTGCCGAGGCAGAAGAGGTGGCAGCGCACGAAGGGAGGTGATGTTGATGAGCTGTGTTACATCACCAGTAGGAAACCAGTCTACGACGACGCAGGAAGGACCAAGTTTGTTGGCCTCTCACACTTCAACCGGGTATGTAACGAGTGATCATACTGGTAGATCAATTGTAGTGCTCAGAGATAGTGGAGCAGCCCAGTCCCTGATCGTGAAGAGCTCGTTACCCGAGGGAGTAAGTGTGGATGGGAGACCAGAGGTTATCCTGGTTGGGTTTCCGAGAACGCAGTATTTCGCCCCCTTAGTGCCAGTACATCTCGACTCGCCTTATTTCAGCGGCACATGTGCGTTGGCAGTAGTCGATACCCTCCCTGTGGCTGGGATTGACGTGGTACTAGCCAACGACTTGGTGACCGATTGGAGCACCAATCATCCCAAGGTTGCGGACGAGTCTACCAGAACAGCAAGGTCTGAGGTAACAGGCAATGGTAATGTCCAGGTAAAGACAGACCCGGATGTAAACATATTTAATTTGTCCTCTCACCCGCAGATCGACGATATTCTAGCAGTGTCTCCTGATTCTCTCGACGAGGAACATGAAGTTAAGAAGGCAGAGGTACCTGAGCAAGAAGAGAGGCCTTGTGTGCGGGCACCCACGGATACCAACGAGTCTGGAGCGAAGGCGGATGTGTGCTTGCGGTATGGCAAGTTACAGCATGTAGTGAACCAGCCAGAGATTCCCCAGACGTCAGAGGTAGGTGCGGTGTGTTCAAAAGGTCTAGTGCCCTCTTCGGTCCAAGCCAGGCGTGTGGATGTGGCCGGCTATGGACATGACTGGCTCGGGAAGCTTATCCCTCAATTAGCCTCATGTTTCTTAGCGATACTTTGTTTGATTCTCGTATGTGTTCTCGTTTGTGCTCTCAGTAAGGACCGGTGGACGACCCGACGAATGATGGCTCCCATGAACATCGCGAAGAGGTCCCTGGGATTAAAGATTTGCACTGCAAGTGTTGCAGTTGAAGAAGGGACCTGGAAGGTGATAGTAGATACAGGAGGTACGACATGTGATAATATGAGTGACTGTTTCCGACAGGTTGACACCCCCCGCGTGATTGCTGAGCCTCAACACAGCGTTATACGGAACGTTGGTCGACCTGACGGGGGCAGAGCGAATGCCATCTTCGGTGTACAAGCAGCCCTGTTGGAACTAGGTGTGGGCCTAGTAGAAGAGTGTATAGTAAGTACTGACTTGCCCATTGTCGCTATCACTCTGAATTATCAGACCCCTGTATTCCAGGTTCCTGTCTCCCTGAAGGACCATCGGACTGGCACCAGAAATGCCGTCTGTGGTCAGCCATCATCGGTGCCACGACATAGGGAAGTGTCGAGTCACCCCAGATCGTGTCGAAACCAATCCGTACTCGAGAGAGGTGAGATGATGCCCCTGCTTGACATCGCAGTGGAGACGTGGAAGATTACGTCAGGCAGATCATTGCCTTCCATTACAAGTTCCCTTTGTGCCAGAGTTCCTCAGTACAGTTCTGTAGACGTGACAGCCTCGACATCCCAGATCATAAAGCATGTGTGTCCATTTGGAGTTGTGTCGTCGTACTAATTTGGTTTGTGTTTCTTTTTATAGAACCCCAAACCAAATTCTTTTTGGTGGGGAGGTGTTACGAACCCGGATCCAGCGTCCGAGCCTGGAGCAGTGACAAACACGCCATCTGTGGGTCAGCTCCCGAAACCCCCGCCAAACGAACGACGACACCTAGTGAGGACAGCGTGTACTGGCCTCGAGGACCAGTTTCCAGTCTGGTTCAGCGCTCAACACCGCCGCTCCTGACCTCTGGTGAGGTGGTGCTCCGACGACAGCGCCATCTATGGACTGGATACGTCAGGCGTTAGTATCTGAGCCTGTGAGTGTGGTGTATTAGTGTCCCAGTTATTGATGACGTGTCTGCTTACAGAGCCGACCTGGGACCACTGTGTTGAAGGTGAAGTCAGTCTACCCGAGGCAGCCAGTCTCCATACTGTGAAGTTTGCTGCAGCTGTTGTGACGTCGTCCCCCCCGGAAGAACACTGTGGTGTGTTAAGCCTGCCAATGGAGTGGCAGTGAAAGGATTTACCCGGGACCGACGGTTGGAGACGATAATCCACTGGGGTATTGAGGACAGGAGGGTGATTGGTGATATCACACGAGACTCCTGTCTAGGGCGTACCCCTTTTATCGTTCGTGGAGTGGCCGTACCAGCCTTGGTGGCTCAGTACCTGCCAGCAGACCTGCTGGACGTGTGGTTGACGGCCTCCACGACGGTGCCCCCAGTGGACCTGTGTTGTGGCTGACCTGTGGCCAGGGTAGGCTCGGCGTTCTCAGAGGACACGTCTTGAGGCCACGAAGAAAGCACCGCGGACTCAGCACCTAGCTTCTTAATCAAGAGTCTTCAGCAGAAGACTAGATTGTGCACGATCCCCTTGTAAAGTGTTAATACCCCTCCCCTTGTGTACTCTTTTATTTTATATATTTAAACGGTGATGGTGAACATTATATTATATTAAGTTCTTAACTTTCTTTCCCTACTCCCTTTAAGTTACTTGCGTCACGGATCTCATCCCTTGATAGCCACTACTGGCTTGGGAACGGATACATATATCTTCCTCTAACAACATCAGAGTGAGAACCCCGTTGCGTCCCGAGAGGGCCGTAACAACAGTTTCAAGTGTAGATATGACAGAGCCCGATAGGCTCAGGAATCTGTACACCTGTTGATTGACGGTTGAGAGGCGGGACCAAAGAGCCAGAGCTCAACCCCCGCAAACACAACTAGGTGAGTACAACTAGGTGAGTACACACACACACACACACACACACACACACACACACACACACACAATGGATAAGGAACTACCTAACAGGAAGGAGCCAAAGAGTTACGGTAAGGGGCGAGAAGTCGGACTGGCGAACAGTAACAAGTGGAGTACCACAAGGATCGGTGCTGGGACCAATTCTATTTCTTGTGTATGTTAACGACATGTTTACAGGCGTAGAGTCCTACATGTCGATGTTTGCGGATGATGCAAAGTTGATGAGAAGAGTTGTGACAGATGAGGATTGCAGGATCCTCCAAGAGGACCTGAACAGATTGCAGAGATGGTCAGAGAAATGGCTACTAGAATTCAACACGAGCAAATGTAAAGTTATGGAAATGGGACTAGGAGATAGGAGACCAAAGGGACAGTACACAATGAAGGGGAACAGCCTACCTGTAACGACGCGTGAAAGAGACCTGGGGGTGGACGTAACACCTAATCTATCTCCTGAGGCACATATTAATAGGATAACGACAGCGGCGTACTCTACACTGGCAAAAGTTAGAACATCATTCAGAAACCTAAGTAAGGAGGCATTTAGGGCGCTTTACACTGCCTACGTAAGGCCAGTCTTAGAGTATGCCGCCTCATCATGGAGTCCCCATCTGAAGAAGCATATAATGAAACTGGAAAAGGTTCAGAGGTTTGCAACGAGACTCGTCCCAGAGCTACGAGGGATGGGGTATGAAGAGCGCCTGAGGGAACTGTGCCTTACGACACTAGAAAGAAGAAGGGAGAGGGGGACATGATAGGAACGTATAAGATACTCAGAGGAATTGACAGAGTGGACATAGACGAAATGTTCACACGGAATAGTAACAGAACGAGAGGACATGGATGGAAGCTTGAAACTCAGATGAGTCACAGAGATGTAAGGAAGTTTTCTTTTAGCGTGAGAGTAGTGGGGAAATGGAATGCACTTCAGGAACAGGTTGTGGAAGCAAATACTATTCATAATTTTAAAACCAGGTATGATAGGGAAATGGGACAGGAGTCATTGCTGTAAACAACCGATGCTCGAAAGGCGGGATCCAAGAGTCAATGCTCGATCCTGCAAGCACATATAGGTGAGTACATATAGGTGAGTACACACACACACACACACACACACACACACACACGCGCGCGCGCACACACACATTTAGGAGTTGATGTGCTGGAGGCTGACTCCATACACAGTTTCAAGTGTAGATATGATAGAGCACAATAGGCTCAGGAACCTGTACACCTGTTAATTGACGGTTGTTGATTGATTGAAAATGTTTAACACGGGTGGGACGCGAAGAAGGGGACACAGATGGAAGCTGAGTACCCAAATGAGCCAAAGAGACATTAGAAAGAACTTTTTCAGTGTCAGAGTGGTTAGTAAATGGAATACACTAGGAAGTGATGTGGTGGAGGCTGACTCCATACACAGTTTGAAAAGTAGATATGATAGAGCCCAATAGGCTCAGGAATCTGTACATCAGTTGATTGACGGTTGAGAGGCGGGACCAAAGAGCCAGAGCTCAACCCCCGCAAGCACAATTAGGTGAGTACACACACAATAGTAACGTTTTTCTCAACTTTTTGTTCCTGGTTATTGCTCGAAGCATTGACAGTAGAACAAAATGATTACTGTTACCTATGTGCAACAGTGCCCAAGCGTTCCCTTACTGGAGGATGGGTAAATTGTTTCCAATAGACTAGTAAGACGGGATATTGCCCCGGCCAAATAACCTTTATTAACTTACATCCAAATTGTATTTTCTTGGTTGTGGTGTACAGAAGTACTCGTGGTGGGTGGACACGACCATGTTGGCCTACCTCAATATGGACGAGATGCTGCGAGGGACAGGCTGCCTGCGGGTGATGGCTTCCCCAGTACTGCGCCAGGCCATCAGGGAGGCAGCCACGCAGGTGATGTGGCCCATGGGGGAAGCTGTGAATGTACGCGATGGATGGCGGATGTCAGACCCGCTGCTGAGAACCGGTGAGTGCCTCAACATCATCCATGATTAGACACTAACCCGCACGTCAGCAAGTGTCGTGAGTGGGCCAAGTTTCGGTGCGTCCATCACCAAGTTGTACAAAATCTATAATATTCTCTTATTCATTCCCAATGTTGGTGTCTTGGACACCAGCGTGTGGACGATGGTATCTGTGGGACACTGTACCTGCATTATATTATATTAATCTGAAGGAGTTACTTCATATATGTTATAAGAATTATGAAATATAACGAAGACATTACAAAGAAAAGTTTGTAGATAAAGTATGTTTCTTGACACAAACTTGAAAGGTTTGTACCTCAGATCTGACCAGTCAGTCGGCCTTGTAACTCCAGTCATCAACAGTCTCTTTGTTTGCTTAGATGAACTTCCAGTTGAGTGTAGCTCCTGGGCTCCCCCACACCACGCCTCTAGTCACCACCATGTTTTTTCAAATTAGTTGGGTCGTCTGACAAATCATATATATATTTTTTATACAAGAGTTCTTGCATGTACAGCCACCATCACACGTAGCGTTTCCGGTCCTTAATCCTATGTTCACCCAGAATACCACCCGCCAAATCGTTTAGCAACTTGGTACCTATTTTACTGTTGGGTAAACTGAGGCTACAGTTAAAGATTGGTGCCCAGTAAGTCCTCCCCGGCCAGGATACGAACCCAGTACAAAGCGCTCGCGAAACACCAGGCGAGTGTCTTAACCACTACACCACGCGTGTAATTTGGTGTTAGGTATCTACAAACCTTTCTTTGTAATGTATTCATTATATTTCATAATTCTTATAACATATGAAGTAATTCCTTCCAATTAATATTAGGGAATTAGGTGTAGTAAGGTTGTGCTGCTCAGGGGCCAGATTCACGAAGCAGTTACGCAAGCACTTACGAACCTGCACACCTTTTCTCAATCTTTGGCGGCTTTGTTTCCAATTGTTAAACAGTTAATGAGCTCCGAAGCACCAGGAGGCTGTTTATAACAATAACAACAGTTGATTGGCAAGTTTTCATGCTTGTAAAACTGTTTAATAAATGTAACCAAAGCCGTCAAAGATTGAGGAAAGATGTACACGTTCGTAAGTGCTTGCGTAACTGCTTCGTGAATCTGACCCCCAGGTCGACAGGTAGTGCGCTCATTGGCTCGTAATGACTTGGCACTTCTCCTGATAGTTCCCTTCCCTCCCAGTCTGCAAGTGGCCTCATAGGCTTAATCACAGCATCTTGTATAATGTCTTGCTATGTTCTCCTGCTGACTGGCTGTCACTTCTACCTTCTTGTTCCATTTCCACAGCAACATCGAGTACCGAGCAACATGGGAGCCGGTCGGTCGAGCGGACAGCACACTGGACTTGTGATCCTGTGGTCCCGGGTTCGATCCCGGACGCCGGCGAGAAACAATGGGCAAAGTTTCTTTCACCCTATGCCCCTGTTACCTAGCAGTAAAATAGGTACCTGGGTGTTAGTCAGCTGTCACGGGCTGCTTCCTGGGGGTGGAGGCCTGGTCGAGGACCGGGCCGCGGGGACACTAAAAAGCCCCGAAATCATCTCAAGATAACCTCAAGATAAGATAACCGTGCTTCTAGAATCTTCTATTTTCACTTACCTTGGGCAGGAAAGTCCCCCCCCCCCTGGAAACATAAACCGAAACTGTCTCTATTTTCCGCTTGTTACAACTTGTAATAAAGTTGTTACATCTTGGCTTAACGTGTTTATGACGTGTTAGAACGTTGTTACAACTTGATATATTGGTTGTTATAACTGGTTAGGAAGTGTTAAAACTTGTTCGAACGTTGTACCAACGTTGTTGTTTCGGTGTGTGTTTGGCGGGCCCCCCCCCCCCTTCTGAGTTCTTCCACATCACTGTCAAGATAACGTGCAGGCGATGAGTCACAATAACGTGGCTGAAGTATGTTGACCAGACCACACACTAGAAGGTGAAGGGACGACGACGTTTCGGTCTGTTCTGGACCATTCTCAAGTCGATTGGACTTGGCCAAGAATGGGAATGGTGGAGTCCAATCCATTCTCAAGACAATCAACTTGAGAATGGTCCAGGACGGACCGAAACGTCGTCGTCTCCTTCACCTTCTAGTGTTTGGTCTGGTCAACATCAGAATTACATATATTCTTATCCTACTTAGGTGCATCTGACATGAAAATGATGGCATGAATAGAAACCAGAGAAGAACACGTTTGAGTGAGAGCAACTTTGACATGACCAGGGTGTATGCTAGCTCGTGGATGGTACCCAGGCCCAGACTTAAAGTGCTCCCTTCCCATAGCTCAGCTTAATCCTAATACCACTACTTTTCCATGCAACACCACCTATCACTGCAGGGTGAGAAAGGCAACGAATCAAGGATCAATCCCCCCTATCATGTTTTCCTATAAGAGGCTCGAACCTGAACCAATAAAGCTAGGAAGATTGTTTAGGGATTTTTATTACCTGACGTTCATGTAGAGAATGACCAGTCTTCCCCCCCCCCCCCACCCCAGGTGAAGGTTCCGATTCCTTGCCTGCTTCATCCAGTCCTCCTAAGGTTTCCCAGCTCTAAGAAACTGCCGTTCTAAAGTGCCCTTATCCTTCCCTACCAGAGGACCCCAAACAGAAAACGGGACAGTATGCCAATTTCGTGAGCCGCTATCATTTTCTAGTACGATAATTTTTGGCCTTAGGTAGAGTATACGTCCAAATGTGACGTTGTATCAGGAGGATTGGTTGCTTTATCAACCGACTCTTATGAACGTTCTTATTTGTCAACTCCCAGATCCCTCTTTTGACTTCCTCACCTGCATCCTACTATTTCGCTTAGGGGCCAAACACATCAACTGGTATGCTGGTAGATACATGAACAAACATTCCCGTCTTTCTCAACATAGCCAGCAGATAAATCACAAAATATAAAATGAATTCCAATATTGAAACATGCCACGATATCTTATCGGACGTCCAAGACGTGGATTAATATATGCACTTGAATCTCTCAGAAGAAACATCCATGACATCGAATGTAACGTCTGTTAACAATATACTGATGCCCATATTATATAAGTCCAGTCCAATCATCAAGTCTGCAGCAACTTGGATTAATGAGACTTAAGTTAAAAGTAAAAAAATCGTTTCCTATGTGAACCTCATGGATTCACACATGAGATGTGAAGCTCTTTAATTCTGGTAACAACATACTGATGCCCATATTATATAAGTCCAGTCCGATCACCAAGGGATATGTCTACAGCTTGTGGATGGTCTTCCAATCTTATTTTGTGCTGTGGACGTGACTTTAAATGTCTTGCCGGCATGACATTATTGAATGTCCTGATTACCCTGTTTCTGTCGTCACTCATAACCGGCTCCATGTGGAAAACCCTCAAAGAACTTAAATAATGCTGAAACCACTTTTAAATTATATCTTTCCATCTTTGGGATTCTTCAAGGTTCAACCACTTGTGTTAAGGAATTTCTACTTTACCCATTTCAGTGCTATTCCACTTAGACATATGGATATGGTGTGTCCGAGTTCAGCTCTGTTTTGTCCAGTTTGTATTTTGAGTCATGCCACACCTGTCTGCCTTGGTTTAAGTCCCTGTACTAACGGTGGTGACTTATCTCCTCTACTCCAATTCATATGGCAACTATCCCACTGAACAGCTAATATTCGTTGGCAATTCATTTATAATATTTTCTTATCCGGAAGGAAACACTACAAATGCAGGATATCCTCTGATCCCCGGTATAAGCTTGACTGACCAGTTTATGTTCTGCTCGCTACTTTCGCCATCTTGGTCCTCTGTATCCGCTCTCCCTTATCGTAACAGCTCTACCATAAAGTGTTCTGAATACCTTACCATTAATATTATTATTGACCTTACCTAGGATTGGCCAGCCTTCACCAGCTACCACCACCTCTCGTCGCAGCAGTGTTTTTCTTATATGTCTGTGGAGACCCCATCTACATGTACACTACTCGTCCTCTCTTGTTGTTGTTGTTGTTGTTAAGATTCATTACTTGGAAGAAAAAGTTCCAAGCAGCACGGGCTATGGTGAGCCCGTAGTGGACTTACCTGGCACAGGAGCGGGGCAAGCAGCACGGGCTATGGTGAGCCCGTAGTGGACTTTATATTACTCGTCCTCGCTCTGATGCATTTCAAGGTATAACTAATTCCATCAGCTCTGCTAGCTTCTTATAGTCTAGGCATCTGTCAGGCAGAAGGAAGAAGACAGCAGGCACGTCTTGCACCCCACGGAAGGTAACACTTATGCACAACCCGTGTCTACTTCCTCCCCTCTGACAAGATAGGTAGGCTTTCAGTATAAATTTTCCCGATTCCTTGTGGTTCTCGCTCCACCTTCTTAAAAGCATCTTCTGCACGTCTTCAACCAGTCTTCCCGTCAATACAAACCCTCTCGCCATCTCCTGTGTCAACGAATCAATCCACTAGGATGTTTTTCCTTTCCTTTGTACATGATCTTACTTCTAAATTATTATTTTGCCGAATACCATTCATGATAATCTTCCGTTTCTTTTCAACTGGCGTTAAGTGCTTAACTACTCCTATTCTTGTGCTGAAATACGGGGCTGACGTTCAGAGATACACGAGTGAGAACACGGGTGAGAACACGGGTAGGAACACGGGTGAGAACACGGGTGAGAACACGGGTGAGAACACGGGTGGGAACACGGGTGAGAACACGGGTGAGAACACGGGTAAGAAAACGGGTGAGAACACGGGTGAGAACACGGGTGAGAACACGGGTGAGAACACGGGTGGGAACACGGGTGAGAACACGGGTGAGAACACGGGTAAGAAAACGGGTGAGAACACGGGTGAGAACACGGGTGAGAACACGGGTGAGAACACGGGTGAGAACACGGGTAAGAAAGCGGGTGAGAACACGGGTGGGAACACGGGTGAGAACACGGGTGAGAACACGGGTGGGAACACGGGTGAGAACACGGGTGAGAACACGGGTGAGAACACGGGTAAGAAAACGGGTGAGAACACGGGTGAGAACACGGGTGGGAACACGGGTGAGAACACGGGTGAGAACACGGGTGAGAACACGGGTAGGAACACGGGTGAGAACACGGGTGAGAACACGGGTGAGAACACGGGTGAGAACACGGGTGGGAACACGGGTGAGAACACGGGTGGGAACACGGGTGAGAACACGGGTGAGAACACGGGTGAGAACACGGGTGGGAATGGATTAATGATGATCACTGTGTATGTATCAGGCTACGTTCTTGTGACTTATTAGCTTATGAGATATTTAATACTTGTAAACATTAATGCACTTCTCAACATTGTGGTCATCTTTATATACTGAATATGTAGTTGGAGGCTGGAGGGAACATTAACTATGGCATTAACAAAGGTTGAGTAACGAGGGTAAATATTGGACTCTGAATGTCTCTGGAGCCTTAGTCTATTTTGTCATATGCATTTAAGTAATGATATTCACAGGTAAGAGAAGATTATAGTTAGCGTATGTAAGTCGCTATCTTTTGTAAATAACTATTTAATTTATCGTATAAACAAATCCACAAGGGCAGTGACGAGGATTCGAACCTGCGTCTGGGAGCATCCCAAACACTGCCTTAATCGACTGAGCTACGACAGGGTAAAAAGGGTTGAAACCGAAGTTCTACTGAACTTGAACGTGTGATGATGTAAGGGCGAAGAGGGAGAACGGCCTATTGACATAGCTCGGGTGCAGGGGGGGGGGGGTTGTGTAAAAGCCTGGTTTGTGCCTCGGAGAGGCTACGGGATCCAGTAAGTTCAATAGAATTTCGGTTTCAACCCTTTTACCCTGTCGTAGCTCAGTCGATTAAGACAGTGTCTGGGATGCTCCTAGACGCAGGTTCGAATCCTCGTCACGGCCCTTGTGGATTTGTTCATTTGATGCATCACGTTAGTGTGATCTCTGTGTATTTAGTGTATCTTTTAGGATGTTTCGGTTTGTGCTTGAGATAATAGTTGTCATTAGTACAAGGTATTGTATTTATGGGTATCCTGGTTTACATTAGTAAACCAGGAAATTTTTAGAGCCAAGTATATATCCCTTGGAGATAGCAGTGATCACTGGTACTGTAGAATTTGCCTGATGAGTATCAGCGTGAGGTGGAATGATGATTTCAGACTTTTGCTTTCAGATGTCCACTTCAGTAATCTTGGCAGCGAGAGCGACTTCGCGAGCTTCACGGCCCAGCGGGGCGTGCCCTCAGCTCACTTTGTGGTCACAGGCGAGCAGTGGGTAAGATACCCACCTGTTGTTGTGGGGCCGGACAGTGGGTAAGATACCCACCTGTTGTTGTGGGGCCGGACAGTGGGTAAGATACCCACCTGTTGTTGTGGGGCCGGGCAGTGGGTAAGATACCCACCTGTTGTTGTGGGGCCGGACAGTGGGTAAGATACCCATCTGTTGATATGGGGCCGGACAGTGGGTAAGATACCCACCTGTTGTTGTGGGGCCGGACAGTGGGTAAGATACCCACCTGTTGTTGTGGGGCCGGACAGTGGGTAAGATACCCATCTGTTGATATGGGGCCGGACAGTGGGTAAGATACCCATCTGTTGATATGGGGCCGGACAGTGGGTAAGATACCCACCTGTTGTTGTGGGGCCGGACAGTGGGTAAGATACCCACCTGTTGTTGTGGGGCCGGGCAGTGGTGGTGGGTCTGTCACTGGCACTTGCAGGGGGGGGTTCATAATACACTAATACAATTTATTGCAAATATCTTGTATTTTATTGAATAGGTTCTACATAATTGTATAAATAGTTTTGGGCTCATAGCACATCTAGAGAACCAGGAAAGTTTATTTACTTATAATGAATGAATAATAAATACATATATCTGTACAATACTGTTTATCTCTCTTTATTGGCTTATCGCCTTGTGTTGTAGGTGCCAACTTCTGATTGTTAATGAAGTTGACCCAGATAGGCAATGCTGAGGAAATTGGCCTTGCACAGAGGAAGTAAGTCTGCCATCAGTTCTCTGGTGTTGAAGACTTGGGTCCTTTGACCAATTCATCCTGAGTGGATCAGTACTAGATATGAGGCTTTTAGCTTGGCTCTTCCTTTATCCAGAATTCTGATACATGATAGGGACCGTTCCATCCGGAAGAGCGGTGCACACTAACAATGGGAAGAAATTTGTGCTTCATTCAAGGTTTTGCAACTGTTGCTGTCAAGTAGGTATGAGATGTGCTAAATGGCTTTAAATTAATTAGCAAACTTGCTTGCCTGGTTCAGCATGTCGGTCATTGAAGAGTCAAACTTCATTCCCAAGATCTTAACTTCACATTTGTATACGTGTCCGAGTTGCTTGTATTTTCTCAGCCGAGATCTGCCATCTCCAACCCCAGGAAGATATTGCTGCAAGAAATGATCAATGATCCTCATAGTAGTTGGTATTTCTTCTATTCCGTAGGTAAAGGTTAGAATACAGTCATTAGCATTGTCTCGAGCTTTAGGAATGAGCTGTAACAGATCACTGATGATCTGTTACAGATCTGTTACACATCATTTCACAACAAAGGGCCAAGGACACTACCCAGCAGTACGCTGGCACCAATTGAGTGGCCTCCAAATTTTGCTCCATTTTGCTCTAAGTTTGTTCTTGAAGGTAGTTCCTCATTAGCTCTAAAATAGGGCCTTCGTTATGCAGTGCCTGAAAATTTGCTTGTAATCCAATGTGCAAGCATACAGCTGATCTTTGTCTCATCTAGTGACTGATGCAGAGAGCCAGAAAAAGATCGGTGGTGGAACGATAATTTCCAAAACCATATTGTTGACCACATAGTAACTGATGATCAAAACATTATGTCATTTGTCGAGAGGATAAATGTCTCATGAATTTTGGCGGTAATTAAAAGCAGTGACACTGGTCTGTGGCTACTGAAAAACAAGAGACATTGAACGACTCTTTGTGGATCGAAACCACATCGCCTTCTGCAGTAGGGAAGGCTAAAGTTATTAAGTTAAGAATTGGGTGACGCCTGTGAGAGGCGGCAGGTTATCTTGAGGTTATCTTGAGATGATTTCGGGGCTTTAGTGTCCCCGCGGCCCGGTCCTCGACCAGGCCTCCACCTCCAGGAAGCAGCCCGTGACAGCTGACTAACACCCAGGTGCCTATTTTACTGCTAGGTAACAGGGGCATGGGGTGAAAGAAACTCTGCCCATGGTTTCTCGCCGGCGCCTGGGATCGAACCCAGGACCACAGGATCACAAGTCCCGCGTGCTAATGACGCCCCGGATGTTGGCTGCCATTATGCTGAGGGATTGATCCCACGTGAATGCGTATTCTTTGACCAGTCAGCTGAGGATGGTTGCCAGTAGTCAGCTGAGGATGGTTGCCAGTAGTCAGGTGTGGATGGTTGCCAGTAGTCAGCTGAGGATGGTTGCCAATAGTCAGGTGTGGATGGTTGCCAGTAGTCAGCTGAGGATGGTTGCCAGTAGTCAGCTGTGGAAGGTTGCCAGTAGTCAGCTGAGGATGGTTGCCAGTAGTCAGCTGAGGATGGTTGCCAGTAGTCAGCTGTGGATGGTTGCCAGTAGTCAGCTGAGGATGGTTGCCAGTAGTCAGCTGAGGATGGTTGCCAGTAGTCAGGTGAGGATGGTTGCCAGTAGTCAGGTGAGGATGGTTGCCAGTAGTCAGGTGAGGATGGTTGCCAGTAGTCAGGTGAGGATGGTTGCCAGTAGTCAGCTGAGGATGGTTGCCAGTAGTCAGCTGAGGATGGTTGCCAGTAGTCAGGTGAGGATGGTTGCCAGTAGGCAGCTGAGGATGGTTGCCAGTAGTCAGCTGAGGATGGTTGCCAGTAGTCAGCTGAGGATGGTTGCCAGTAGTCAGGTGAGGATGGTTGCCAGTAGTCAGGTGAGGATGGTTGCCAGTAGTCAGGTGAGGATGGTTGCCAGTAGTCAGGTGAGGATGGTTGCCAGTAGTCAGCTGTGGATGGTTGCCAGTAAGGCAGCTGAGGATGGTTGCCAGTAGTCAGCTGAGGATAGTTGCCAGTAAGGCAGCTGAGGATGGTTGCCAGTAGTCAGCTGAGGATGGTTGCCAGTAGTCAGCTGAGGATGGTTGCCAGTAGTCAGCTGAGGATGGTTGCCAGTAGTCAGCTGAGGATGGTTGCCAGTAGTCAGCTGAGGATGGTTGCCAGTAGTCAGCTGAGGATGGTTGCCAGTAGTCAGCTGAGGATGGTTGCCAGTAGTCAGCTGTGGATGGTTGCCAGTAGTCAGCTGTGGAAGGTTGCCAGTAGTCAGCTGAGGATGGTTGCCAGTAGTCAGCTGAGGATGGTTGCCAGTAGTCAGCTGTGGAAGGTTGCCAGTAGTCAGCTGTGGATGGTTGCCAGTAGTCAGCTGAGGATGGTTGCCAGTAGTCAGCTGAGGATGGTTGCCAGTAGTCAGCTGAGGATGGTTGCCAGTAGTCAGCTGTGGAAGGTTGCCAGTAGTCAGCTGAGGATGGTTGCCAGTAGTCAGCTGAGGATGGTTGCCAGTAGTCAGCTGTGGAAGGTTGCCAGTAGTCAGCTGTGGATGGTTGCCAGTAGTCAGCTGTGGAAGGTTGCCAGTAGTCAGCTGAGGATGGTTGCCAGTAGTCAGCTGAGGATGGTTGCCAGTAGTCAGCTGTGGAAGGTTGCCAGTAGTCAGCTGTGGAAGGTTGCCAGTAGTCAGCTGTGGAAGGTTGCCAGTAGTCAGCTGTGGAAGGTTGCCAGTAGTCAGCTGAGGATGGTTGCCAGTAGGCAGCTGAGGATGGTTGCCAGTAGTCAGCTGTGGAAGGTTGCCAGTAGTCAGCTGAGGATGGTTGCCAGTAGGTTGCCAGTAGTCAGCTGAGGATGGTTGCCAGTAGGCTGAGGATGGTTGCCAGTAGTCAGCTGTGGAAGGTTGCCAGTAGTCAGCTGAGGATGGTTGCCAGTAGTCAGCTGTGGATGGTTGCCAGTAGTCAGCTGAGGATGGTTGCCAGTAGTCAGCTGTGGAAGGTTGCCAGTAGTCAGCTGAGGATGGTTGCCAGTAGTCAGCTGAGGATGGTTGCCAGTAGTCAGCTGTGGATGGTTGCCAGTAGTCAGCTGTGGAAGGTTGCCAGTAGTCAGCTTAGGATGGTTGCCAGTAGTCAGCTGAGGATGGTTGCCAGTAGGCAGCTGAGGATGGTTGCCAGTAGTCAGCTGAGGATGGTTGCCAGTAGTCAGCTGTGGAAGGTTGCCAGTAGTCAGCTGAGGATGGTTGCCAGTAGTCAGCTGAGGATGGTTGCCAGTAGTCAGCTGTGGAAGGTTGCCAGTAGTCAGCTGTGGATGGTTGCCAGTAGTCAGCTGTGGATGGTTGCCAGTAGTCAGCTGTGGAAGGTTGCCAGTAGTCAGCTGTGGAAGGTTGCCAGTAGTCAGCTGTGGAAGGTTGCCAGTAGTCAGCTGTGGAAGGTTGCCAGTAGCCAGCTGTGGAAGGTTGCCAGTAGTCAGCTGAGGATGGTTGCCAGTAGGCAGCTGAGGATGGTTGCCAGTAGTCAGCTGTGGATGGTTGCCAGTAGTCAGCTGAGGATGGTTGCCAGTAGGCAGCTGAGGATGGTTGCCAGTAGTCAGCTGTGGAAGGTTGCCAGTAGTCAGCTGTGGATGGTTGCCAGTAGTCAGCTGAGGATGGTTGCCAGTAGTCAGCTGTGGAAGGTTGCCAGTAGTCAGCTGTGGAAGGTTGCCAGTAGTCAGCTGTGGAAGGTTGCCAGTAGTCAGCTGTGGAAGGTTGCCAGTAGTCAGCTGTGGAAGGTTGCCAGTAGTCAGCTGTGGAAGGTTGCCAGTAGTCAGCTGTGGAAGGTTGCCAGTAGTCAGCTGTGGAAGGTTGCCAGTAGTCAGCTGTGGAAGGTTGCCAGTAGTCAGCTGTGGAAGGTTGCCAGTAGTCCGCTGAGGATGGTTGCCAGTAGGCAGCTGAGGATGGTTGCCAGTAGTCAGCTGTGGATGGTTGCCAGTAGTCAGCTGAGGATGGTTGCCAGTAGTCAGCTGTGGATGGTTGCCAGTAGTCAGCTGAGGATGGTTGCCAGTAGGCAGCTGAGGATGGTTGCCAGTAGTCAGCTGAGGATGGTTGCCAGTAGTCAGCTGTGGAAGGTTGCCAGTAGTCAGCTGTGGAAGGTTGCCAGTAGTCAGCTGTGGAAGGTTGCCAGTAGTCAGCTGTGGAAGGTTGCCAGTAGTCAGCTGTGGAAGGTTGCCAGTAGTCAGCAGAGGATGGTTGCCAGTAGTCAGCTGTGGAAGGTTGCCAGTAAGGCAGCTGTGGATGGTTGCC